CACCTGTACAAACGAATACTTCCCACATCACCCTTTGTCGTTTTCCTCTGTTACAACGCCACTGCCATAAAGGACACCTGTTTAAGATGCCCACCTTTCTGACCCCACTATGGACTGTTGTCTTGAACAAGTTCCACTGTATGTCTACATTCTTCTTTCCTGAATATTTCTTTATTCCGTTCAACTAATCTGTAAATATCTGCCAATTATGGTGTTACCCCCACCCTCCAAAACAAACAAACAAACAAACAACAACAACAAACAAACAAACAAACAAACAACAACAACAAACAACAACAACAAACAAACAAACAACAACAACAAACAAACCCCCACAAAAAAAGAAAACCCAACAAAAAGCAAAAAGAAAAATAAGGGGACAAAAAATAACCCAAAAAACAAAAACAAACAAAACTAAACAACAAGAACCCCAAAAAGTACACAGGCTAAAGCAATGGACAAGACATCGCTAGTCATGAACTGTATTGCTTTGACTCTGTCTGCTAGGGGGTGGGGGGTGCCTATGTACAGAACAGTGGATCTACGCGGGTAGGCAAATCTTGCGGAAGCTGGGGACATAGTAGTGTATGTCTATGAAGTAGTGGCTTATGTCTATCTCGTGGAGTTATATGTCTATGACACATTGGTATATGTCTAAGGCTATGAGACTGACTTATATTATAATATGTCTATTACACAGTGATGTCTATGATGAAGTGGTACATTGTGAGCGTTGTCAGGACGCTCACTTCTGATATTCAGCTTTGGGATTTTCTCCTTCTGTCCTGACAAACAATGTATCGTCCTTATCCCTCCTCCTTTTCCTTTCCTTATACGTTACTCTATAGTAATGCCTCTAGTCTTCGGCACTCACAAGACTCATTTGTGTTGTAAGAACCGTGAAATTCCTACAAAAACTAAAATAATATTCACCTTTTTGACAGAACGGTTACGATTTCTCAGACAGCTATTCAGATGTACCAAAGTCGAACATTTTAGGAGGCGGGCTTGTAATCCTGTCTCTCATGGCCAGCCCAGGCTGAGAGGGATACAACATCTCAGCAGAAAGACCCAGGCTGAGAGGGACACAACATTGTAGTAGAAAGACCGAGATACTTGATAAAAACTTTCTCTGCACCCGGGCATCGAACCCGGGTCTCCTGTGTGCGACAGCGAAGCGCCTACCCACTACACCGCAGACTCCAGTCGTTCTGTCGTTCCCTAAACAAACAAAAAGAAGGAGGAGGGAGAGTGGGGGAGGGGGGCGTCAGAATGGAGAGCTATCGTCTCTTACTAAGGTCAAGGACGGAGCAATAAGGGATCTCTTCGGCCATTCCCTGGCCCACGCCTGAGGGTATAGATCTAACGCACAACACGAGAACTCACACGTTGCCCTCACTCCTCATTGTTGTATGTCAGAACTCGATCTTTTCAGGCGAAGCAAAAACCTGTTATATTTCAGGAGGGACATTTGGTCAATACAAAATGTATAAGTTGTCTAAGTGCGTCAGTACTTTAAGAAGAGGAATAAGACAAGGAGCAATCGATGCGCCTCACCAAGCCCTACAACATACTTGACTTTCATTTTTTCCGACATTTTGACATTCGCCAATGTTGAATGACGACGACGAGATAAAGCAGCCATGACACATATTTGAATACACTCTAGCCTAGCAACATCGTTTGTCGAGAGATACAAAGTCGAACCTGTGCTAGCAGCCACCTGTACAAGACAATCACCTGTCCAAGACAATCACCTGTACAAGACAATCACCTGTCCAAGACATCACCTGTACAAGACAATCACCAGTCCAAGACAATCACTTGTATAAGACAACCATTTGTACAAGACAACCACCTGTACAAGACAATCACCTGTACAAGACAATCACCAGTCCAAGACAATCACCTGTATAAAACAATCACCAGTACAAGACAATCACCTGTATAAAACAATCACCTGTACAAGACAATCACCTGTACAATACAATCACCTGTACAAGACAATCACCTGTACAATACAATCACTTGTACAATACAATCACCTGTACAAGACAATCACCTGTACAAGACAATCACCTGTACAATACAATCACCTGTACAAGACAATCACCTGTACAATACAATCACCTGTACAAACGAATACTTCCCACATCACCCTTTGTCGTTTTCCTCTGTTACAACGCCACTGCCATAAAGGACACCTGTTTAAGATGCCCACCTTTCTGACCCCACTATGGACTGTTGTCTTGAACAAGTTCCACTGTATGTCTACATTCTTCTTTCCTGAATATTTCTTTATTCCGTTCAACTAATCTGTAAATATCTGCCAATTATGGTGTTACCCCCACCCTCCAAAACAAACAAACAAACAAACAACAACAACAAACAAACAAACAAACAAACAACAACAACAAACAACAACAACAAACAAACAAACAACAACAACAAACAAACCCCCACAAAAAAAGAAAACCCAACAAAAAGCAAAAAGAAAAATAAGGGGACAAAAAATAACCCAAAAAACAAAAACAAACAAAACTAAACAACAAGAACCCCAAAAAGTACACAGGCTAAAGCAATGGACAAGACATCGCTAGTCATGAACTGTATTGCTTTGACTCTGTCTGCAAGGGCTTCGTCCAGGGGCTGTGGGGACACACACTGCAGGAGAGAGAGAGAGAGAGAGAGAGAGAGAGAGAGAGAGAGAGAGAGAGAGAGAGAGAGAGAGAGAGAGAGAGAGAAAACGAGAGAGAGAAAGAAAGAAAGAGAGAGAGAAAGAAAGAAACAGAGACAGAGAGAGACAGAGAGAGAGACAGAGAGAGAGACAGAGAGAGAGACAGAGAGAGAGAGAAAGAGAGAGAGAGAGAGAGGAGAGAGAAAGAAAGAAAGAGAGAGAGAAAGAAAGAAAGAGAGAGAGAGACAGAGAGAGAGAGAGAGAGAGAGGAGAGAGAAAGAAAGAAAGAGAGAGAAAGAACGAAAGAGAGAGAAAGAAAGAAAGAGACAGACAGACAGAGAGAGAGAGACAGACAGAGAGAGAGACAGAGAGCGAGAGAGAGAGAGAGAGAGAGAGAGAGAGAGAGAGAGAGAGAGAGAGAGAGAGAGAGAGAGAGAGAGAGAGAGATAAAGAGCATAGTGCTAAATAAGAATAAACAAACTGTAAAAGTGGGAGCGGGACAGGGTAAAAGACATAATTCACCTGTACAGTTTGTACATTTCGAATGTCACCACTTGTAGGATATTGCATAAAACACAACAAACATTCTTTGTTCCTTTCTCCGTATATCTACACTTACGAAAGAGCACTTCCCACTTTGCTCTAGTGTTTTTTAAATATTATAATGACAACGTTCAAGCCATTCACCTGTCCTAGACAACCACATATTTCTTCAACAATATGTAGTCGTCAGTTTCAAGCGTACTTTCTCCTTCTATCTCCATGTTACATCAAAAACAAACAAACAAACAAACGAACAAACAAATAAAAACATAACACTCTTGCCCTGGCCAGTGATGTGGTCAGAGATGTCAACAAAACACAACAAAAGAACACAAACATAGACCACGACACAGGTTGCAACAGCGACAGCAAAAATTATAGATCTACCATCTAACGAAACCGTAAAAGTAACAATAACATCAGAAACAAAACAAACAACAGCACCAGTAACAACAACAACAACAACAACAACTACAACAACAACTACAACAAATACTTCAACAGAAAAGGGAGACTGGACTACCTCACTCGTCATGGCGAGAATCAATTTATCAGGGTCGCACATTGGCGCAACAGAGAAAATAATAATTATAACTTATTATGTTGCTCCTTAAATCCGTCGACATCCCCTCCCCCCCAACCACACACACACTACGCCAACCAGACAGACAGACAGACAGACAGACACACACACACACTCACACACATACAAACATACACACAAACACACACACACACACACTGTAGACGCAACAACTGCATAATCAACAATGAACAAAACGTAATGACATGACGATGGGAGAGGCAGTAAGCGGGAACCTTTCTTTTCGTCTGTCATCACTCACAGCCGAAATGTATCACGATCTCCACGTATTTCTAGCGGTAATCACAGCTTGTTGAGGGAAATTATAGGTGGATATCAAGTATGATCTTCCAATTTTGTCACAGGAAAGAAACCGCGCTCATGTTCCTGAACATCTCTGTTTAATGGAAGCTGATTTATGATGTTTGTGGTGGATGTGAGACTTGCCAACCACGCGCGCAAACTTTTGTCTTCACATTTCTGTCACGACGAGGCAGAATCAGGCGCTTGTCAATTTTGGGACATTTGGAGTTAGTGATATCATCTTTTGAAGAAAAACAAAACACGCCTATCTTGAAAAGAAGTTGAGATATTTGAGATTGAATGAGGTCGGGCTTCGTCGCCTGGTATCAGAGGTAAAATTAGAGAGAAAAAGGCCACCAAAGTTTGGTGATTTCCAAAGCTTGAGTATCCGTGGAATCTGATAATTTATATTTGTTGTGCCTTTAATCAATGTCTTTGTAGAAATATGTCAAAAATTAGAAAAAAAATAATTGCCAAACTGGTGGGAAAATGCCCATATCTTCGAATGTATTATTTTGACAAGCGTTTGATTCCACCACGATGTCTCACATTTACACCTTGCTCGTTGGGAGCAGTTCTCTGTCCCCTTCAGTGTCCATAAAACCGTAGACATCTTTTTTTTCACCGTGTCGCTGTCATGAAAGAAGCGGGAATCGGACAACCGCGAAATGCAATCAGCCTGTATATATTCGAAATGTGCGAGGCTAGATTGCATCTGTTGCAAATTTTGTTTTTAGTATTTTTACAATATGTTTTACAAAGAAACTGAAAACCAGAAAGCCATCAAATTGTTCCACAAGAAGTTTTAGATAAATTTCTACAAATAAACCGGGCAGTAAGGCACAGGTTATCACTTGTCATCAACAGTTGTAGGGTTTCTTTTTTTTTTTTTTAGAGTGGGGAAAATAGACGCGTTCTTGTTGGGTGGTACAAGTGAGTGGACGCGGGAGAGGAATCTGCTTCTACAAATTATTCTTAGCACTTGACTGTAATATCGTGGTCTAGCTGTAGCAGATTAAGGTGAGTAAAGGTAAGACAAAGCAGTTTGATGGTTTCACGCTCCCTGGACGCACGCGCAGTCAGAGGAGATACACACGGGTCGCTCACAACAGACATAGCTCTGACGAGCGACGCTGGGGTAACTCTATGGTAGACGCGGCCTGGACACACAGACGTAAAGTAAGCAGATGACTCGCCGGGGATTCTTGTACCCTGACCTCCATATATGTCACGTGGTTACCATCACCGGCTGTCGGTTGACTTTTTCACGTCTACACCGACTGTCTACGAAGATAATATAGAACCACGTTGAACGCCTCTAACAGCACTGTAAGGTTATCCAAGAGGAGACATTGACTGTTGGACAGGCTTCAAACCAGAGGGAGTGGGGGTGGGGAGGGGGAGGGAGATTCTTGTAGATTCCACCTACCCCTTTCCGGTCCACCATAGGGGGCAGTATATATTTTCTGGTATGCGAAATTTCTCGCTGGCATTTGAATTTCTCGTGTCCGTCTGTCCGTCTCTGTGTGTTTGTACTTCTGCTCGATTCCGCTGTTTCTTCCACCTCCCCTCCTCTCTGCGTGCCACATCCCCACGAGGCCCTTCATAAGGAAAGCAAAGACAGCGGTTCTTTACCCGTCAACCTCTGAGCCAGAGATGATACCTCTGATCCAGAGATGATACCTCTGGTTTCTGGCTTCCAGACCCCAGGTTTCAGAAGCATATCACGGGTATGTGGCGCTGTCTGCATAACGTCAAAAGATGATAACACCGCACTGTGTTCCAGAGACAGCGTTGTGTCGGAGGGATGTCATCATTGAAGTAGCACTGGGCAAAGTTCAGCCCAGATTTTTCCTGGAAGCCGGCGGTGCTGACGTCAGACGTGCCTCCCGGAAGCGCCGTTGCTGGACACCTCCTCGAGGACTGGCGTGACGCGGTTGGGTTTGGACGGGTACACACAGATGACGAGGCCGATGAGGACCACGATGAAGGCGGCCACGCTAAAGCCGATCACCCCGCCACACGACACCTCCATCAGTCGGGTCACCTTACGAGGGAGAGAGGAACACTTTGTTAGTTGGAGTATAGAACGAGTTTTACGGCACTTGTAATACAGTTAGGTAATATAAGTGCAGGTGGGGGAGGGGGGGACTGGAAGGAAAACATGGTTAATTGTAGTTTAGAAAGAGTTTTACGGCATTTGTAGCACAGTTAGGCTATATAAGTTCAGACGGAGGACAACAAAATATGATTAGTTGTAGTTTTAGTGAGAGGTTTACTGTACTTGTAATACATGAACAGCTCCAAAAACAAATGAAGAAGTCTTGGTTGAAGCAAATTGCAGGCGACAGCTTATGACGAATATACGAAAGCGACAGGCAAAGTTCATTGAACATACAATGCGGAAAAAGGCATTGGAGAATATTGTAACAACAGGCAAGTTTGATGGAAAGAGAGGCAGAGGCAGACAGAGGGAAAAGATACTGGACAAGTTGAACAACATGGCTGGGAGCAGCAAGAACAACAGACACCATCGCTGCAAAGCAAGGCAGAGTGAAGTGGAGGTCCATGATCGCCCACGCCAGTCGGCAAGGCATCGGATGATGATGAATACATTTAGTTCATTTAAGTGCCGACGATTAGAGGTGTTACTAGAAAGTAACATACACAGATAAAAGGAGGAGAAATGAGGAGGATACATGTTGAACAGGACAGAAGGAGCAAACCAACCACCTACAGCACACACTTTGGTTACATCAAAACATGGTAAGTTGTAGTTTTAGTAACAGTTTAACAGCACTTGTAATACAGTTAGATCATAAAAGTGCCGGCAGTTACAGGTGTTTACTAGAAAGTAACGTACAATAAAAGAAGGAGAGATAAGGAGGATAGCTGTGACAATAAAGGCGAAGCAAACCACACCAGCCACAACCCACCCAGCACCAAGAGCACAGACATTGGTTACATCAAAACATGGTTACTACAGACTGTTGTCAGTGTACAGTCGAACCTGCCATGACTGCCACCTGTATAATACGACCACCTGTACAAACGGCCACTTTCTATTCTCTCTCTTGTGTTTTTTCTAGAAAATTTCACGGCGTAAAACGGTCACCTGTCCAACGCGTCTGCGGCCCGCCCTATTTATCAACCAAGAACAGACACCCAAATCTTTCATCGCCCGACGCTTTGTCATAAACAAGGTTTTGGCCCCTGACGCTGTGGACGAGTCGTCATAATCCATTTACCTGTCGTTTTGTCCAATCATGTTGGGTAGGTCCCACCCACTGTTGTTTACCCAAGTTGACCACTCAGTAACAATAAATGTTCAGCTGCTGGTGAGGGAAGCGTGTGGTCCGACATAACCCATAAGCCCCGCCCACAACTCCTACACAAATGGTAAGTGAGGTGACCGGTCACTGTTTACCCAGTCTGTAACAATGGACGTGAACATGAACTTGTGCTAGAAGCGTCGCTCGTTCTCCGAGTGGTGGCGAACCGTTTGTTTATTTTCCCTTGTCTTCCTCGACTAACACATTTAATCTTGTTTTACCCTCGCACACTGTCTTCCTCATTTGATACACTTTGTAGAATTTAACATAACATTACAGCAGTCGCGAGACTGTCTCTCTGCGTAAGCAAAAATGCCCATGCCCACACATAAATACACACACACTTGCACACGCGCACACATAAATACACACACACTTGCACACGCACACACACGTAAATGCACACACACTTGCACACGCGCACACATAAATACACACACACTTGCACACGCACACACACGTAAATGCACACACATACACTTGCACACACACGAACGCACACACTCACACACACACACACGCACACACACACACACACATGCACATATGCCTATCCCTAGGCGCTTTTCAATGCCACACCTTGTTTCACTATATAAATAATATGATTATTTTTCCGTACTTGATTCAAAGACTTAACACGCACCAAATCTTCACCAATAAATCAACCCAAAAGCACAATTTTGCGCCATGAAGGCATCAGGAACCAAAGAGGTGTAATAAAATATCCTAGATCGTGAACTCATTACGTACTTCCTGTTCACTACGGAGCGCAATATTTGAGCAGAATAAAGGGCAAGGGGGGTAGGTGCCGCGCACACTCGACTACAGCGAGACTGGAGTTTTGTTCTTCATTTGTGCGTAACGGCGCAGTCCGTGGTGAGAAGATGGGCGGCCATGACAGTGCCAGATCTAGGAGTGTCAGTTTATGTTGGTGACAGACGTCGAAACAGGAAGTGTGCCTGATGAACCCAGAGTTAGACTCTATCAGTGTCAGTCTACTGTGCCCAATCCTGTCTCTGGTAAGTAAAGCAGCCGCGGTTTTTTAAACTTGAGATTTATTCAGAATTTTACTGCATTTGCAAAGCAATTAAGTTCTATAAGTGCCGAAGAAAGTAACATACAAAGTACAGAAGGAGGAGAGATAATGATGACAGATGTTTGATGGGGAAGAAGGAGGATCCGCATAAAAAAAGTGTAAAGCAGCTGTACCCAAATAGAAAATAGTAAAATCGAGGTCTGTGTTAGTTTTGTATCGTGTTTGGTTTGGCGGGTGCTCTGGTGTCGTTTGCTCCTTTTTCATAGTAGACATCTGTCGAACGTATCTCTCTTACTTCTTTTCTTAGTAGATCTAGATCTAGATCTTACATTCTAGTATTACAAGTAACTTGTAATTTCTGGCACGTATCCTTTTTGTGTTTCAAGTGCAGTAAATCACTTACTGAAACTAAATTTAAGTTTTAAAAAGTAAACATCTTGAGTTCCGAGCAGTCAAAGTAGGCTAAACGGACTCTCTTGAGTGACATAGCCTAATCATACAGGAAAACTATAAATAGAAATACAAGCACCATTTCCTGGAACCATACGATAAGTCTGACGTCTTCACATCTATCTCTTTGAGCTTTTTTCCCCCTTGTCTTATCTTACCCAGACAGAAATTCAGACTTTTTTTCTTTGAGCTGTAATCAGATCCTGCCTCACAGATGACATGTCTGTGCATAGATCTAGATATACAACCGGAACGATCAAACACAATGCGCAGTTTTCACAAGTTCCCCTGTCTCATTCCCCACTCGTATCTTTCTTATCTATAACTTTACTGCATATTGCTGTGGGTTGGGAATGCGCGTTTTAGTTTCAATATGTCTTTTTTATCTGAAGGAGTGGGTGGTTGGCTCCTTCTATCCTACCACACGTCAGTCGTTCTTATCTTTTTCCCTTCTTTTCTTTGCATGTTACTCTCTAACAGCACGTCTAACCTTCGGCACTTATAAAACTTATTTGTGTTGTATGTCCCGAAAAATTAAACCTATCCCTTTTGGGGCGGGGGGGGGGGGTGATGGGAAAGGAAGGAGGGGATGAGAGTGCAACCATAGCACATGGACACAAAAGACTGCGTGTGCGTGTCTTGGAAACGATATTGACAGACATGTATAGAACGGAAAGGGTATGAATTTGATTTTTGGGATGAGTGGCGACATTAGAATGAGGACAGGACTTGAAGACATCCTATTCTGAGCACTTGACTCCTTCCATGTCTCTGGCCTCTGGTCTAGTCAGTTGTTTCTTTGTATTTCATTTTGATATGACTTAGTGGCTTTTTAAATGTCTACTTTAGACTACGTTCATCCCGAACACGTCTATCCAGTTGTAGTATATAATATAATATAAATCATAGTGCTCTTATTGCACCAATAGTAAAGTGACCCCCTACGCTTTACTTTCGGATTTGTTCCAGCCTTTTCATCAGACACTGCAGGTCTGCCCCCCCTCCCCACTTTCCCCGCCCCCACACCAGGTCCCCCCCACCCCGTCACAACACCAGCCGTCTGTGTGAACAGCCTGGGAAATGACGTCGGAGCAGGGCAGCCGCGGATTCTACCTGAGTCCACTGGACAGACGGTACAAGCCGGAGGAACTGGTCACTCACATCATCCGTCTGCTGACCAGTGTGGGCCTCAGGTAACCAGGGTAGACCATCAGTGATTTATCTACAGAGGCACCAGCCAGCCATATCAGGTGGTGTTTTAGCCTGTCTCAGGTAACACAAGTAGTAGCAACAAAAGAGGAACAGAGACCTTCCTTCTGTTTTTGTAGTTTTTGCTTTGTTAACGTGCGTACCCTTTTATAAATGTAAGGATATATCATCTCATACACACACACACACACACACACACACACACACACACACACACACGCACACACACACACACACACACACAGGCACACACACTCACACGCACACACACACACACACACACACACGCACACACACACTCACACACACACACACACACACACACACGCACACACGCACATACACACACTCACACACACCTTATTTCGTTGACGTCTTCGACTAGACACTTGGTAGACAAGGAATTAGTCTCGTTGTTTGTTTTTTTCCCTTTTTCGTTTCTTTTCAAAACTCCACAAAACGACCCGAGTTCAAGAACGCCCAGTCTAGGATTCGAACCAGGGTTATCCACTCCGCGGTCCAGCATGATAACGACTGAGCTAAAGAAGCACCCTCGTCTGTCTGTGTCTAGCAGGGAGGTGGACACGGGAAAAATGATTTTAAAAAATAAATTGTGTTTCGTCCTGATGTCCCAGGTGTGACGACGTTTCTAAGATCGCCATCCACCGTGACCTGGGTGTGGCACGAGTGGTGTTGATGACGTCAGAGAACGAGCGGTTCGCCGTGCGCGCCATCGAGCAGCTGAGCAGCCTGATGAAGGTGTTGGACCTCCGGACCATCACGGCCAGGCCAGACCTGGGGCGAGCACGTGGGGTCAGGGACCGCTCCAGCGAGTCCAGATGTGTGAGTACAACTCTAGTCCATCTGTGTGTGTGAGTACAACTCTAGTCAATCTGTGTGTGTGAGTACAACTCTAGTCCATCTGTGTGTGTGAGTACAACTCTAGTCCATCTGTGTGTGAGTACAACTCTAGTCCATCTGTGTGTGTGAGTACAACTCTAGTCCATCTGTGTGTGTGAGTACAACTCTAGTCCATCTGTGTGTGTGAGTACAACTCTAGTCCAACGGCAGAGTATATGGTGTAGCGGTTAGGCACAAAGAGACCCGAGTTCGATTTCCGAGTAAGGGAAATATTCTATTGAGTATCTCGGTCCATTCTGCAGGGATGTTGTATTTCTCTCAGTGTGGGTTGGCCCTCACAGGCAGTGTTAAAATCATTAAATTCTTTTGAAAGTCAGCTTAAGTCATTTTGGCCCATGTTACTCCCTCAAACACGTCCATACCTCTCTCCCCCAACTATCTATGAAGCTCCCCACGGACCGAGAAAAGACAAACGATGAGCAGGCGGCGGAAAAACGGACAGAGCAAGAGCCAGTGGAGGTCAACGGTGAGGACAAAGCGTCATCTGATACACAGAAATCTTCTGACGACGGTAAGATGGTTTGTTTATAAATTCATGTTCGCAACAGCAAATTCAAACCGGCGTTTGTGCTGTTCACGCATGACGTCATAGCTCCCCCCATGGTGGTCCCACAGAGATGTGTTTTTTGTAGGTGTTTTACAGTCCGAACGACCAATGGTAGACGGTCACTTAAGATGCGGCTTTCTTTACTTTTTTAACTTTTCCGATCCAGCGGCCATTTGGGTTCTCGCCATAGCGTACTTTACTAAAGACCGCCATTTGGGTTCTCGCCATAGCGTACTTTACTAAAGAACGCCATTTGGGTTCTAGCCATAGCGTACTTTACTAAAGACCGCCATTTGGGTTCTAGCCATAGCGTACTTTACTAAAGAACGCCATTTGGGTTCTCGCCATAGCGTACTTTACTAAAGAACGCCATTTGGGTTCTCGCCATAGCGTACTTTACTAAAGACCGCCATTTGGGTTCTCGCCATAGCGTACTTTACTAAAGACCGCCATTTGGGTTCTAGCCCTTCGGTCTGTCGACGTGGCAAAGAATTGGCAGGTTTTAACCAGCTGTGCTTTGTCGCTGTATAGAGTCGATGTCTGGGGACGCAGGTAGGTAGGTGCTACGCAGGTCACAAAGTGCTGGGCAGGTAAAGAGGTGGTGTGGTACTGTTTCATCCTGGCAGTCGCACAGCGGGCAGTCGGGTGGGGTATACTTGCGGATCCTATTAAGGTAGGAGTTTAGTGGTATGTGTTGTGTTTGTAGGCGAAAGATCGTGACTTGTGCTCTTCTACTCAGGGAATTTATTGCATCTTTAGAGTTGGGGGCTGTCATGTGTGCAAATACAGTTCTTCCAGTTTTGCCCATTGCCCGTCCATTCAGATGCGGGTTTCCGAACGTGCCTGTCAGGGCCAGCCCCGGAATGAGAGGAATACAACACCCCAACAGAAAGACCGAGAAACACGATAAAAATTCTCCCCGTTTGGTAACCAAACTACGTGAGACGGCGAGGCGGAAAGCCGCTACACCACAGACAGCGGTCCACAGAGAGTGGAGAACCCGGGTGTGTGTTCTAGGTCAAGTGAGCTCTGACTGGAGACCACAACTACACCTTCACCTTGTTTTGTTACTTTGCTGTCAACGTTCTCCTACCAATAGGTATTGCTATGTTAGGCCTGCTCAAGTAGAAACAACGTCTTTATTGCAGTTTTCCCACTTTGTTTTTATCTATGGGGTCTCAAACTCAAATTTTCCGAAAGCCCTCTGCTGGTAGTGTCCGGGTGAGTTTGGCCGCATCAAGTACTTCACAAAAATGTTAGAAGTTCAATAAAATTGTTTATTAAATGAGTGCAACGATCTAATCTTCTCAATCTTTATATTCATGGCAGTTCAAAACCCGAAATGTTGTTCTTTACCGCACAGCGTTTTCTACAAAACGGTACCGTGTTAGAAAAAACGTGCGGGGCTCTCTAACACTAAACTTTGACGTCCACTACGGGCCATAGAATCACGTCTTTCTTGTCTCAGTCAAAGTTTGGGACCCCTGGACCTGTCGTTCCCTTTGACGTGGACGATGCTGGGATAACCAAGCACCTATTTTATCTTGATATTTTGGCCCGCTGAAGGAACTCAGGACGTGGAGCAGGGCAGAGAGGAGACGTGCGCCAGTGACGACAGCGGCCAGGCTAGGTCACTTCCGGAGGCTACCGTGTCAGATCCTGACCTGTCCAGTGCTGTGGTGAACTCTGACCCGGCCATATCCCCAGCTGCGGTCACCTCTGAACCGGCCATATCTACTTCCGCGGCACAGGAGACACACAGCGGAAGTGATGCAAGGTATACGCTGAGTGGGGTTATTGTTTTAAAATCTAGTTTTTAAATACAAATAGGCTGTATAAGTGTCGAAGATCAGAGGTGTTACACATGAGTAATAAACAAAGACATGAAGGAGGAGGGATAAAGACAAAAGTAAAAAAAAAAAAGAAACAAGGAGCGAATTACACCAGAGCACCCGCCAAGTTTTTAAACATATGGGTGGGTGGGTGGGGGGGGGGGGGGGGGGTGATGGGAAAGGAAGGAGGGGATGAGAGTGCAACCATAGCACATGGACACAAAAGACTGCGTGTGCGTGTCTTGGAAACGATATTGACAGACATGTATAGAACGGAAAGGGTATGAATTTGATTTTTGGGATGAGTGGCGACATTAGAATGAGGACAGGACTTGAAGACATCCTATTCTGAGCACTTGACTCCTTCCATGTCTCTGGCCTCTGGTCTAGTCAGTTGTTTCTTTGTATTTCATTTTGATATGACTTAGTGGCTTTTTAAATGTCTACTTTAGACTACGTTCATCCCGAACACGTCTATCCAGTTGTAGTATATAATATAATATAAATCATAGTGCTCTTATTGCACCAATAGTAAAGTGACCCCCTACGCTTTACTTTCGGATTTGTTCCAGCCTTTTCATCAGACACTGCAGGTCTGCCCCCCCTC